AAGTCTCTTTAGAGATCTAAAACCAAATCATCTGAGCCAGCACTTCTGAAAATAAAACCATACATCTTGGAGGCTGAGTCCAACTTCTTAATGTCCAAGTTGGTCAAACTCCATTTCAGAAAAAGAAAGATATGTCCATACCTGAGACAGTCAACCAACAGGCTAAAAAGTATCACTTGAAACTCAGTATTATATCTATTAGGCTCTGACAGTAAGTATCAGATGAAGAAGGAAACAGAAATGGCAGGAAGGTGTAAAGAGTGAAAAAAAGATGAACTATGAGAGGGACTAATGATGAGGGAGAGAATGTTTCCAGTCTCTGTTTAACACAAGGACTAATATTGGAAACACAGAGGCAGCAAATCCTTGTGTGTTCAGTATTGAAATTCCACTGAAGCCTAGAGTTGAGTCATGGCATAGCTGTGTCCAGAGTGATAACTGTACTTTAGAAGTAATTATGTGAACAATGCTTGTTTTCATACTCCACAAAGGAGAACCATCACTAGATAATTGGAAGAAAACAAATTGAGTATCAGTGTAAAAATCCTGCTTCCTGTGGATAGTGCAGCCCTGTATCCACAGTTAGTGTTCTTCGTGAACAAGGAGGTTTGGTCTCACCATCTTCTGCAGATACAGCACTGGGGTTGTAATGGACTTCAGCTATGGGAAAGAATTGGGAAAAAAATTCCATTATAATGACTTGGTTTAATGTATTTAGAAAGAATCCTAGAAGAGTCTATGCAGAACTCACTGTTTTAACATCTTTGGGGAAATAACACAAATCAACGTGTTTCCAAAAACAACCAGGAATGTTTGGTACTATTCCTGTTTCAGAAAATGGCTCTGCAACAATTTCTTCATCTTGGAAGGCAAAACCTTCAGCTGGGATTCTTCTGGATTAAAAAGACTCACAGCAGGTCCTGTTCAGCTTTCTGGAATTCCCAAGATCTCTAATCTTTTGGGAGTGCAATTCCAGTTAGGGAGCACTATCATCTATCTCAAGACTATGGTGCTTCCTAACTGGAAGTAGGTCCCGTGTGAGCAGCAGCCAGCTGGCCCAGGGTAGAATATCTCTTAGATGCCTAAGATAGAAGCTAAGCAGAGTTCCCTTCCTTTTGGAGAAGAGCCATCCCAGGATTTTAAGGGCTTTCTTACTTTCCTTAGTACAACAGAAGCCATATGTAATGTAGCCATTAACCCCAAACCACACTCTGGCACAGACAAAGCAGTGAAAGATTTCCTGTTTTTTTCCATTGGCTGGGATTTGACAGTCACCACAGGGAACCTATTGCATTCCAGTCTATGCAGTGCACACTGTTTTTCTTACCAATCTTAAAATTCCTATCTGGAGAACACCTGGGAAGGAAATCTGAACCATTGGAAGTTGAACTTGTTCCATTAGAATTTAGACTCTGCAAAGCCCGGGATGGTGATTTGTGGTTTAAATGCTTTGGTGTAGATCCTGCAGTTGCACCTGACCCACTCCAGTCTGAAATCAGAGTAGAAGGCACACAGAACAAAATTCTGTACAAGTGTCACATCTCAAACAACCAGAGAATAACCACCTCTCAGCCAGAGACAGCAAGACTTCTCCTCCCGGGCTGAGCAAACCCAGCTCCTGCACATAAGAAATAGCTACTAGCATGCCAAATATGCTGCATGCATTTCAGAATCTCAGCCTTATGAAGACTGGAAAGTCACCAAAAGCACTGCTCACATAAGGGAACACTGAATGGCATGTGAGAACAGAATTAGAGACCAAGCTGAAATCGTTTTTGGAAATCTGCAGTTTTCACTGCATGCTGTCATCCCATCATCATATATAAGCAGTTAACAGGAAAGGATAAAGGCTTATTAAAGAAAAATCATCCAATGCAATGCAGAAAGGCTACTGAGAGGAGCCTTATTACTTAATGTAGAACAAATGTGACACCAGTAGCAGACAAAGACTCATGAGTCAAGCTAAACAAACCCCCTCAGTGCTTACCAGAATAGCTACTCAGACGGAATCTTCCCCAGCAGAAGTGTACTCGGCACTGCTTCACTACCTCATCCTTCATTAGGCAGTGAAACACAAAGATAAAGAACCCTAGAGAAGCAAGAAGAGAGATTAATGTGTTTTCAAATGTATTCTCCACACTGCTGTCCCTTTTCTAAACGCTTGGCATACCATGCTCCAGATACCAGTAATGTTCTGTATGGGCAGAGAGGTGGTCCCTGGGCCAGCACTGGGATCTTTAAGGTCCCTTCCAACTCAACCCATTCTGTCATTTTATGATCCTGTTGGCCCAGAGTGGCATCAAGTCCTTCGTGCATATGAAAGGCCGATAGGAAGAGGTTTCTGCAGATTTTGTAGAGGAATAATCTGCAAGTCACTGTGGATTTTATCAATCATTTTTATGCCCTGATGAAAAGGATTGTGCCAGCTCCTAAAAAGGTGTGTTTATTGGGACCCATGTTTCCAAAGCATGAATTCATGTCTTTAGTGGTCTATAACAGCAATGCTGTCTAAACAACACTGTCATGCCATTGCAACAGAGCTTTCCTTTTAAAATAGCTAAACCCTGTAATACAAAAGCTCTCCTCTTCCCCCATGCTTGAATTACATGATGTTACAATTTATTTCTATTCCACAGCCCTAAATGGTTGGCTTTATAGCAGTACTCCACTGAGAAATTACCTTGCAAGGTGTTAAAAATGCTGAAGAGATACAAGAAAAATATCCTCACTTCTCCCCAGGCAAAAAAGGCAAAGCCCCAAGTTAAGCCCAAAAGGAACATCAAGCTGAAAGCACTTTTGAGGTCTTGGAGAACACTCTGTTTCCAGACTCCGGATCTCTTTTGTGTCCTTGTCTTCACAGAGCGGATTTGGAGGAGGACAGTGATGAACATGGCTGTATTTGTCAAAAATATGAAAAAGAAATAGGCCACAACGGAGATGTAGAACACTAGATTGTCCTGAATCCAGCAGCTGCAAGAAAGAGAGGTGTGTATTCAATATAAGGAGTTTGTGAAACTCAGGAAGGCTGGTTCCTCAAATAAGTATCCTGCATTCTACTCCAACACTTAGAAAGGGGCATTCCCTAATGCCCATTATTTTCACCCAGTGAGGACATTCATGGAATCTCTCCACTTGTCTTTTTTATAGATGTTATGGGTATTTGTTGACTTTGAGACATTACTATTTCTGCCAAATTCAGAAAAACAGGACAATTGTTTCCCAACTTAATGATGTATACACACGAAGACACACTGCCTCGGGAAAACCAAGTTAAATATGAATTAATTAGGAGTCAAAATAATAGTATGCCACTGGTTAGCTTTTCCTTAGACACAAATTAGTGTCTTTTTGCTTAGAATGGGTAACAATTTTCCCTCTGAGGTGTCACAGGGTGTGCTGCCTCTCTGATGAGATAGAATTCAAATATACCAGGTAATCTTCACCAACAAGTGATCAGATTGTGCTAAACAGAAAGTAGGTGAAAAAAAGGGAAGCATTTTTGCTATAAAACCACTTTTAAAAAGGATGAAAGAATGCAGTGTTTTCCCACTGGAAAAGAGAGGAGGCTGAGATGATTTAAATAAAAGAATTTGAAATTATGATGAGACAGTGATGTGAATTGACATTAAAAAAAACCTCCAAAAAACCAGAAGCAAATGTGCAAAATACTCGAGCAATTATTGTGCCTTTAGATTTTACCAGAAACCCAGAACATGAAGGAGCATATACAAATGTCCCACCAGACTGAGCTATTGTCATGTAAAGAAAGACCACTGAAAGGAGAGGGTAAAGATGGGGAAAAAACACAAAAGCAAGAAAGAAGTCGTTGCCTTCTGGTTATTTCTTGTATCTTTCAGATACTCTACTGACCATAGAGCTTAGAGCATTGTACTTACAAATTGCTGTAAGGATTGCTCTCAGAGTGGGACCCATTGCCATAGAAGTCTTTGTTTATAATGAGCACAAGAATAATTACAACAGCTGGTATTCCTAATGTGGAAAGCAAGGGAAGAAGAAATATTTTGATTAAAAAGAAAAAAAATGGAGAATAGGGAAAGATGTCAGATAATCTCTGATGAGTAATTACAGTAGACGTTTGCATCTTAGGATCCAACTCTACCCCCAAATTCTCCTTCTGAAATGAGTGTAATTAAATATATGACATAGCAGGTCTAATCTCCCTATTTATGTAAATTACAAATGAGTAGGCATAAAAATATCTGTGTTTGCAAAATGTCTGTGAGTGTTCAAACATCTCCAGAAGGGATCCAATCTGGCAAAATAAACCCAACTGATTATTACCAAAGCTGAGTGTCAAAAGATAAGCAGACCACAGCATTTTGTGTTAAGAGCTTATAGAGACAGACGTTTTCCAGGCAGTGTTTTATCAGTCTTCCCTTCCACTAATTTCCCATTTCTCATTTTTTTTTTCAGTCCTGTCTTTTCTGTGGAGAACAGCTGCTGCCAACAACACCATCATGGATGGCTGCCCCGAGAACAATTGGATGCAATGTCAAATCTGAGGATAGAGATGACAATACACTGCACACTATTCAAGAGCCAAACCCCCCTTTAAAACAGCATCTAATGGTGACCCAAATAATACAGACCAAACCGTGCTCTAGGTCAGTGCCTCTGATAACACCTTTTCTAACAGCTGAACCAGCCTATGGGCTCTTTTTGTTGTGTTCCTACCAGACAAGCCTCTGATGCTTGTCCAGGGAAGTCCTCAGGAGAGAAATGAATGAAAGCCAAATCCTCCCTGTGTGGGGGAATCATGAATAGAATGCCAGGTATTCTGGACACAGGGCCTGGAGAAGGAGCTAAAAACACCTTTGAGCAGCTCCAGTGCAAGGGTGAAGGCCGTGGGCAGCTCATCCTGCCGCAGGCACACACACTGACGTGAGGTACCCTAATAAATCATTCCTGTAAGAACAGGAGGAGTAGGAGACCAGTTCCTTACACCCACGTTCACCTTTTCATTTGACTGTGCAGGGAGCAACAGGCACTTTATGCTAATGTTTCCCAGAGCAGAAGAAATTTAAGCTGAACCTGCCCAGGGGGAGAGATCCATCCTTACAGCTCAGGGTGTGCATCACATTTCTGCTAGCTCAGTGTCCTCACTTACTTTTGCACATATGCCCCAATCTTAGAGAAGGTGACAAGCCCAAAAGTGGAGAAGAAATCTGCTTGCTTACCCCAGCCAGCAATGCAGCATTTTAGGATGTACTTTGGGACATAAACATTGAAAACTTTGACAAGAGCCAAGTAAAAGTGAACAGACTCCAGGCACATCCACGTGAAAGCTGCAAGAAGGAAATAGTGAAGGAGCACGGCCATGGTGATGCAGAGGCCTGGCTGGTTGAATGAGGACAGCCAGGAGTTGGTGAGGAAGACCATGTTCAGCATCAGCAGTGCAGCACAAAGGTTGAGCAGGATTTTTGAAGGGTTGTCTCTCCGCAGCTTCCTAAAAAGAAGGGGAAAGTCCACAAGGCTATCGCTGCATCATCCAGTGTAGAGCCATTCTATGATTCTGTGAAATTTAGGAACATAGAAGTTGCTGAACAGTTCAGATTGGTGCTTGTATTAAAGCATTGAGTGTTTGGGTCCTTCTAATTTTATCAGAGGTCAAAATATAGCAATTTTTATAATGTCAGCTCTCAATCTTCCCTCCCATGCATTACAGCATCAAATATTAGCAAACATTCTTATAGCTGCTGCAAATCCATTATTGCTAAAATATTAAAAGCCGTGTAAGAAGAAGGATCAGACTTACTCAAGGGTTAGATATGTCACCAGCGTTATTCCCAAAAAAAGGGAAGAAGCACCACATCCTACGTAGCTTATCACAGTTAATATGTGATCATGTGTGACATCTATTTCTGTCCGGGCCAAGTCCTGTGTTACAAGATAAAGAGTCACAGTTGTTTGCCACTACAGATTAAGAAAATTCCTTTACACATTTCCACACTGAAAAGAAATCATTTCCTGTTCTGCTTACTGCTACTTTTGGAGGGCTTCCATTAACATTTTTATGTGTTTCTTGTTGTACAGTCCTACAGAATATACAAACTAGTAAAAAATATGCAGTATTTAAAGTATCCAGCAACGAGTTGTTAAGCTAGAAAAGCTGTCCTTCAGAAAACACAAATTTAATAAGGATTCCAGGATCTTGACAAAATTATTCCTCTGGAGCTTGCTTTGTAGGAGAAACTATTTTGTTTCAGTGGCAGCTGCCATGCTTGTGAACTGCACAAATCTGCTAAATGTCTTGGAGAGTGGGAGGATCCTCCCTGTCCAGAAAGCATCCCCCTGCAAAATCAGCTAGCAGACTGGGCTCTGCTTCTCCACAGCTTCTGGAGGAAAGTTGAGAGAATTTTGTTGGTCCCTGACACAGTTTCTCTTCTATTTGGTGAAGCTTTGAACCTCAGACGAGTAACCCACATCTCTGATGTTGAATACTTGTAGCTGTGCTGATTACTAAAGTGGTAGTGAGGAGTGTGATCTTAAAATCAAACTGAATTCTCTTCATTTGAATGGGAACTTGAGCAAGTGTCCAAAATCTGAACCATCTCAATTCCTCCCTGTGAAGTCACACTTTTACTCCCGGAGAGGGTTTTTGCCTCTAGTGGAGCAGGGTGATGCTGACCTCTAGGGGAAGCATCCTAAGGCAAAGGTGGGGCCATACCCGATCCTGTGGGCTGTATCCTTGTGGGATTAGACAATTTTAATCTACTCAATTTGCTTAGAACTTGCCTATCACTTTGCCTTTGTTGCAGCCCATTCTCAGGCAGCCATCTCAGTTTATGACATTTTACTTTTAGAGGCAGTTTTCTCTGTATTACAGAGAAACAAGAGGTGATACATAAAGACATCTCCCACATCTGTATTAAACTTCACTTTCTGATGGAGCATAGATAAAACACTCCAAAAGATGTAATGTCATTAGTTGCCACTGGCAGGTAATAAATTTAACACAGTATTTCCAATGCGGTAAATAGCACATTAAGGTTGATTAAGTTACACTGCGAAGAAGTAAAAACTACATCTGTAAAATGAAATTGCCTTGAAGCAGGTGACATTTAGAGGACTTCATATCATTAAATTATTATAACTGTTATATTTGTTATTACTGAATTTGGCAAAATTGCAGATTATCTAACAGCTTGCATAGACATGAATCTCCCATCTCTCCCCCAAACTAAAGATGACTTTGTTTAGTGCCACGGGACTTTCTGGGAGATGATTCACAGAGTACTTACCAGTAGAACTCCAAAATGGGTAAGATGGTTACAAAAACAGATTGTGTAATTCATATCTGTATATTCCATTTCACACCCTGATGTATTCCAACCACCCAGTCCATCTGTGTTATAGAGAAAAAAGGATTTTTAAATGGAGTTAGTCATGCTCAGTCATTTATAGCTCTGCAGCATGCAGGGTTTGTGAAGATGAGCTCAAGTTAGTACAGATTGCAGGGTCATTTAGCAGCACACAAGTGAGATTTCACACAGGAACACATCTTCTGTAGTTGCCTGAGAATCTCAAAATTTGGATGAAAGCCTTTGGAGGAATGAAGAAATATTTAAAGTCATTTACATGTCTGCACACATAGAAAGCAAGAAGAACCTAGTGCTGGGCTAGGTTGTGCTGCAGGATGTGGAAACACAAAAAGAAAGACGTATGTACAGGGCAGAGGATTTGTTTAGGCAGAGTGTAGCACTGAAAAAGCCAGATCTTCTCTGGTAAGACTAAATTTATCACCCTATTTATGGGGAATATTCATATTCAGACATATTCAGAAGCTAAGCTTCTGATTTTAAAAAAATTATATTTTTGAACCCTAATAATTGCAGAACAAGCCTCTCCCACATGCTCTGAGTTAACCCAATACAAAGTCATCTCTCTGTGTCTGTTGAGGGCATGAGCCACATTCAAGGCCTGACCCCAATGAAGCCCCCACTGAGCTCCCTGAAGCAACTGTGAGAATTCATCAGACATTTCATTGCACTTCTGCTTTTTTGTAAGGCTAAGGCTTCTTACTGATATAATTGCAGCACTGTACTATGCCATACATAGATCCTCAGGGCTTACACTGATTACTGAGGTACCACCAACAACACAAAGCAGCAACACAGAAACAGGACATCCTCGAAGTCTCAAAGGTGTCACATCAAGGAGCCAAAGGCTGCTGGGGACAGAGCAAGCGTGGCAGCTCAGCAAACAGCACTTACTGTTCTTCCCAAAGTCCCAGAAGACACAGTGCACTGCTGCATTGCCCTGGAAGCAGAGAAGAGGAGGTTGTGACATTTATTCAGGACATCTCTACGCCCTCTGCACTTGCAGACGATGCCTCTTGCTCTGACTGGGGTGTGTAACTAAGGCTGCTGGGTTTGACTTCCCCTGCACTGCTTGACAGGAGAGCCCACTGCTCTCTGACTCTTGGCATGGTGGTGCTGCAGTGGGTCTGTGGGTCAGGGGCTGCTGGACACTGGGGCTTGGGGAGCCACGGGGATATTGTGCATCTCATCCGTGGCACTGAACCAGCAGAGTCCCGATTTTTGCCTCTCCCTTTACCAAGGGAAATCCTGGGAGCCAGTGATTTTCCCAGTTTTACCTGTATCTTTCAGTACCTTGTAGTCTTTTAAGGGCAGCAGAAAATCTGACAAATTGTCCAGCATAGACCAATTTCTGTGTCTAATCTCACTGGCTTCATGTGGTGTCTGAGATGTCACACCCCAACAACAACAACAAAAAAACCACACAAGAAACCTTTATTTTAGATTTTCAGTGATTCCTCTCTCTGAAACCAGGCAGGGAAGACACGTAAGAGCTGAACAGATGTAAATGGATATTCAATGCAATGTTCTCTCTTGGGGACATTCTAGTTTATTACTCATAATGCTGCAGCAAACTTTCCCAAGGCACAGATTCATTTACTTTTATTATTATTATATCATTAATAAAGTTTAATAAACCACAGAGTTTACAGGAAGCCAGCCTAACAGATAAGCTGTTAAGATGTGTGATCTGTAGACTGTCAAATATAATTAGGCAGAGAGCCAAAGACGTAGGTTTGGATGATAACTCATTAAATATTTAATTAAGATAATTTTAAAAGGTCGAGGGAAAAAATCTGAGAGATGCCAGATGGTCCGGTGGAGTAAAAATGACAGAAGAGAGGGGATATCTAGATAAAATGTCTGGGTATATATTTGCTAGAACTGAATGGAAAGAGCATATCTCCATAAAAGCAGCATTTCCAAGCTCTCATTAACTTGAACTTTAATCAAATTCATCTTATTGAATAATTTCGTTCTGCTCTGGGTTTGTAATGTATTCATGTGGAGGCTGGACCTTAAACATTGACAACCCAGAAATGCTAAGGTGAAACTCAGTCAACAAGTTTGACCATTTAAAATAAAACAGATTTCAGCTTTGAAACATAATTTTGAAACAAAACTAAGCAAAATAATCTTGAAAACATCTTTGCAAAGTCTTGGGGGTTTTTTAAGTTTACTTCTTTTGATGACTAAACCAATTTGCTTAATTCAGAGTGAAGATAAATCATTTCAGTCCTGCTATTTTTTAGCAAATAAGCTATTCCTTGAAAAAAAATTGTCCAGATTGTAACAAGACAACAAAGAAAGGGTCTTGTGCTGGTAAGCATGGCTTTAGAGCAGAGACACAAACTTTAGTAACCTGCAGGAATTTATAAACACCAAGATCTGTGTGGTCTGTCAATATTTGGGTTTTGAGGTAACATGGAGAGGTCAGGCAGTAAAGCGTTTCAAGCTTATTTTCCCTCTTCCCAGTTTACTGTAAGGGTGAGTGAAATCAGCTCTGCCTCACCTCATCCCTGAGGAAAGGAACACATCTTACCGTGTTCTGGTCTATGTGCTGAAGAGTGACAGTCACGGGCTCATTAAGATTCTGAATTGATGCATTTTCAACACTGGCACTCACAACGTAAGTGTTCAGCTTCTCCATCGTTAAACTGTCATCCTGCAGGAGAAAAACACATCCATGCAAAAAGAACCCAAGCTCTTCCTGGTCCCTTTTTTTTTTTTATTTTTTAAATTGTACTTCTTGGAAATGCTGATCAGCTAAACCCCATGGGATGCCTGATGTAAACTTGTTACTTCATTAGAAAATGTAGTTAGCTGCAATTCAGGGACAGTCTCCACATCAGCTGAAGCAGAACTGAGCCTCAGATGCATCAGCTGGATTGAGAAAGCTGTATAATTGTTTCAGTAGATTTAAACATCCAGTTGTACATCATTAAGCTCATTAGACAGTAGGCACGACTCTGAATGCTTCTTCTGTGGGAAAAGTATTGCTCTGTATGCACCACCATTCCAAAGAAATGTCTCCCTTTTAGGTTATACCCACCCCTCCTGGAGTAAAGAAAATATAATAACTACTAGAAGAATCCTAAATGCTGCACATCAGTGCTGCTGTTATTTTAATGGAGATATAAATCTTGAAGTTATTTGCATGTTTGTTATATCCTATGCATGGTCCTTAAGCAAGAGCTTACTATCAGAGGAAATTCAGGGTATGCTCTTTTCCTGCATAACAGAAGGATTAGAATAACATCAGCTACAGAAAATGAACAGAAAGTCCAAGGTCTACAGACACCTCTCAGAGCATCCTTGCTACAGAGAAGGTTTTGCTGCCTGAGTACATTTTCCCTGCATATTTCTCCATCAGGCTGATGCTAACTGTGCCTGGAACAGATGACACTGTTGGGATTTCTTTTGTAGGCACTGGGAACAGCTGAGCCCACTCCTGCTGTGTTTGGGTTTTCTGGGAGTCGTAGTTACCACAAAAAGTGAAGTAGTGCCAAAAAACTTAAACTGGATCTTTGAATGCTTGTCTGGGTCACAGTGCTCAATCCCGAGGAAGTTCTTCAGGGATTTTGGCAAAAACACTGAGGCCAAGGCATTTTTGAAAGGGTTTTCTTGCACATTGATCTGCAGGAGAGAGATGACATGCTCAGAGCTGCTGCCCTCGGGTCAAACACACAACAGGTCAGAAGAGCAGGAGGATTGTCTGGTTTACTCCATGATTCTGAGGTGATACTTTGCTCTCACCTGGAGATCCACACCTCTGTTGTAGGAGGTGATGCCAAAGGCCAGTCCTCCAAATGTGCTGGGATCTGGACGCAACACCAACAGAGCCAAGGAAGAGGTAATGACCGATGTATTTCTGTCTGTGTAAGTCACCTTGTAGCCAATCTCCTCGGTTGTCTGCAAGATACTTCAACAAAAGCAACAGGGAGGGAAAAAAATACATCTCTTGAAATGTTCTCCTTGCTTCAAAAGACACATCTGGGCCTGACTATCAGTGAGGTTTTTTCTAAGTAGACAGAATAGGCTGGAATGTAAAGGAAGCAGCAAATTAGGGTTGTTTAATACTCATGGGTATTAAGAGTCAGGGACAGCTCCGCATCTTGTTTGGCTCCCATAAGGCTATTCAGCAGTATGCAAGGAGGGATAAAACTCTACTGAAAATGTGAAAGACAGCTGTTCCCAGAACAGACTGAAGGAAAACCTTCCTGTCCTTTGGTCTGGCGTTACCTTCATGCACCATCAATCCCAGACACACCAGGACCCCTTTCAGCCACAGCTGCCCTAGAGCTGCAAAGCCTGGAGTTCAGCTTCCCCAAAATACCAACTCTATCTCCATTAAGGATCAAGAATAACATCCTTGTCCCTAAAACCTTACACTTCATGGGGGGAGAATTCAAAGCAATGGATATTTCCCTGAAAAACCCCACAGCTTATTTGAGAAGGCAGAGGTGGTGCATGCTGGCAGCTATCACACCCCCACTCCACACACTGCAGTGTGATAGGCTTGGAAGAGAGAGCACACAGCCCAAAGGATCACGAAGCTACCCAGTGCTTTCTCTCTGACAGATTTTCTAGGCTATTTTAGGCTACTCCTCCTTGCAGAGTTTGGAAAAGCAATGCCAAGTTGCCCACTGGAAACAACTGGGCTGTGGCATAGCCATGCTCCACCCAGAACTTCTAATTTAGCATTGCATAGCTGTGTTTGAAAAGTCTTTATCAGCACGGGTAGAGGGGTGACAGAGATTGGTGTCTCCAGGCTGCCCTGTCAACAGACCTCACTGCTGAGCCACAGACATCACCTGTGAGAGGAGGTGTCAGCTGGGCAGTCCCTGCTCTGCCTCCAGGTTTGGATGCCCACAGGGAACAACACTATGATGGTTCCGGTAAAAGCACCTTTGACAACGCAATAACCAATTTCTGCTGCTAAGAACCACAAACAAGTTTAAGATCCAAGTACAGAAATTGCTAAATCTCGTGGTTATATTTTAGTAGAGTGAATGAATTAGTTCCGTGGTGCCATTTCAGCTCAGGAACCCTGCTCTGAGCAAGTTATCTTACTTACCTATTGGTTATTTTTCTAATGTTCTGATCTTCTATTTCTTGCAGCAAAATATAGTCTAGTATAGACAATGCAGTCTCTGCAAGTGTCATGCTCACATCTGCAAGCTGTACAATATCAGAAATTTTACTTGCAATGATTTCTAATTCTTCCACATGCAGTGTTGCATCTGGCAAGAGGTATAAAATATGCTGTATAACATCTTGTGCATTCTCTGAAAAAAAAGGAAGCAGAGATGATTTATGTGGCATAGGTCTCTCTGGCTATACAGCTACATATCTCTATGTTAAATTCAGGAGTTAATTTAATTCTCCTCTCTTTCCATATGGTCATAGTGCTCCTGATCTATTATGAAATTATGTCCTAAGAACAAGTCAATAAGCCCTCAACGTGTCAATGAAACTGGCAAAACCTTCAAAGTAAAATCTAGATATCTCAGTTAAAGGAAGAAAATAGTGTCTTTTTCATACGAATGTTGTCACCTGCTTTTGGTTTATAAATACTATCTGTAAATAATATTTACCTTTAACTTTTGCCATGTTTACAAGCACCTGTGAGTTCCAAATTAGACAAGATCCTCCCCTCTCCCCAAATGCTGGTACAGTAGCAAAAGCAAATTCTGAATGGTAACATTTGAAAAAATGTATTTGCCATTCATCATCTCATCATCCTATTTTTTTATAGAAGCAGAGTTTTACACCCTGGGAGTCAGAGAGACTGTGTGCAGCTGCAGATATCTTTCAATGATCTACTATTTGATGCACTGCTGAGGAGGTGGATAAGCCATGGAATTGGGTTTGTTCACCATTCAAACAGCTTGCACTGTTTGGCATAGCTTAAAAAAGATATGACCATGTGGTAAATGTCTCCTTATCACTTACATGAACCACAGCACCAGCTTTTCAATTCCAGACACTGATTTGTGCTTCTTTGTATGAGATATTATGAACTACTTTGATGTGGTAACAGAGAGGGTATAAACAGGCAAAACCTTCCACATTATTCATTGGTTATTTGCTAGTTCTAAATCAAAGTGTAGGATTTGAGACAAATCTTCAAAGTGATAGCTAGAGAATTTTGAAGCACTTGCAAAATTCTTTGACATTTAAACGCCTTTAAGATGAGCAGGATGCACGTAAAATAATCTTATCTCTTCCCTTGTTCAGATGTAATAAGCATTATCTGAGTAAAACTATTTTACTGTGACTCACTGTGTCACTGAAGTATCTGGTGCCTTACCTTCTGTTATCTTGATATCCTGGAGGCCTAAAATATTATTTGGAAGTTTTTCCAGTAGTTTACATCTAGTCATGTTTGGTTTCTTCCAAAAAGCTTGCTCTAGTTCAATACTAATTGCACTGAAAAATTAAAACAATGTACATTGTTACAGAAAAATATAAATAATGATGTTCCTCATATTTCCCACTCAGGTAACTAAGAATATAATTCATTAGCCCAACATTATATGGACTTGCAAGTCAGATCTGACTTTAGCACTTTTTCAGCAGAGTGGGAGCAGAGCCCAAATGCCAGAGCCCTCTGAAATGCACCTTGGAGGGGAGGGAGCCGTGAAAAGATGGCACAAAATGCTACAGTGCTTGTGTTTCTCCTCCCTGCCCAAGCAGAAAGTCCTGAGGAGGCTGCAGGTGATGGGAGTGATGCCAGAGTCCCTCTTCCTGCAGCTCGTGCAGGAACAGCCCCGTGTCCTTTGCATCCTCCTTGGCACGGCACTGCCATGCCATGCCAGACTGCCACCTGGTTTACCATCACAAAGCCTGGTGCTGCCTCCTGTTTTTCATGGAGAAACAAAAACAAGATGATCTCATTGCTCACCAGCTCCTCTGAGCAGATTGCAGAGGGTTTTTCCTGCAGCTGACATCTACTTCGGAGGCTGGACTTGTTAGTGGCCAGGAATAATTCCCCTTGTACCTTGTGTGTGAAAAGCTTTCTGGGCAATCCATCAATGCTGAGGAGGAAATACATAAAAGCTCTTTAAAAAGATTTCATAGTCAAAAAGAAGTTCCCTCTGACACACAGGAATCCAACTGTTCTGTGGACCTCATTTCCTGATGGGAATGAGCTGTGATTTGCAGTCTGCATAGGAGTATTTTACGAGTTCACTATCTGCAAGAAAGTGTTTTGTTTAGATTTGTTTAGATATTTTGTCTCTTGTTCTACAGTCTTTTTCTCTTTTGTTTGACAAGGTCAGTTCTCAGGTACAGTGTTAATTTCCAGCATCACAAACCATATTCGATGACAGCACATCCTGCAGGCTTCTCTAATCTATCTGAAGGTGCTTTCACACTGCCCCTCATTATCCCATCAGTGTCTTTCCTCCAGGCTCGTAGTTTCATCATCTGCAACTGGTATTTTGTAAGTTGTCGGTATAAAATGTTGTTTAAATTTCAGATATGGTCTGTCAGCTCTTACCTCTGTCTTACTTCTGTATTTTAAAGAGCAGCAGAGATTATAACCAAACCAAGAAAGTTTTGTTTACCACCTGAGGTTTGGTCCAATATGCACAGATATTACACAAATGGCAGTGAGTTTGGTTTGAGTGTATGGCTTTGGTGTCCCTGGAGCACTGGCTACCAACAGGGGCTCCCAGATTTGTAGCTGAATCAGCCTGACCTTGCCTTCATTGCAAAGGTGCTCAGACCTGCCTTGGCACCAGGATTCAAGTTTACCTTACCTCCATTTGGCTGGAACACAAGTTATCTTGCTGCCACTACATGACGTTCTACAGCTTGTGCATCAGATGAGGTCAGTCTGGCTACTTGTTAAGGATATTTTCTAGCCTAAACTCTCCACAAAATTTAAATTTGATAAAACACTTACAGACAGATTTACAAAGCGTGTGATTTCCAATGAGGTTTTAGTGAAATAATACCTATTGATTTCACAGCCACATCTTCAGGTTTCACATATAAGGATAGTGGTCCCTCTTTGTATGTGTCATTCAACAGCTGTTTGATCCTGAGACTCAGCACTTCCTGTATTTCCAGAGATGTGGCCTTTAGAATTGCCTTGCAGAAGTAGCTACAAATAGAAGACACAAACAAGGATGCCATATTAGTAACGTTTCACAACATTTAAAGTTTGGAGTGAGCCAATCATAAAACCCTGTGTCCACACAGAGGTGGAAGACTCCATGGCTCCCTGGAAAACTGAGATTTAACTAACCCCTTTCTTGATCTCTGATGGATTCCAGCTTTTCCTCCTCAGAACAGCTATTGTGCTAAGTGACTGGGATTGCTGATTCCAAATGGTTTGGAAAGACAGTACCTCTCATTGAGTGGCTTCAGACACGGCAGAAAGAAGCCAAGGGTGGAGCACCTCAGTGGACCTCTGATTTAACTGAGGGCTAATGAGTGAGATTTCCTTAGGGTTGGGATGTTTCATATGTTTCCAATTCACTCCTGTCTCCACACAGTTGTCCCCCACTCCTCGAGGCCTTTCTAAACCATTTGCAACCCCTTGAAGGTGATGGGAACCCAGCTCCCCCTCCTCCTGGCCTGGAGTCAGAAGACAATCAGGATTTCCTACAGAAGAGGTGCTGGATTCATCCTGGTATCCCTTTGGGCACTGTCCACTTACTGGCCCCATTGAAGGACACTGCTCACAGCCTGCTCTTACAGTGCAGCACAAACCTCACAGCCTGCCATGGAAGCACTTTGAGCCTCCCAAGATTCAGGGTATGAGATGGAAACCTTGGATGCTCAAATGCATTTCCCCAAGCCAAGCATTACTCCATGTGTGGTTTTCTGGTCACTCTGAAGCTCAAACAGCCACGGAGGGGTATAATTCCTCCTCACCCTAAACATGAAATCAATATGAACTATGGAAACCCAGTTCACACAACTCTGGGTCTTACCTTTGTGACATCCGCTTTACCTTCCCCTTCAGGTCACATAGAGGGACACAGAAAGTTAGAAGCTGGTTAGAATCAACGGGCACAAATTGGATTTTAAGGAAAGCAATCAGCACAAACTCAATGTTCTCATTAAAATGGAGCCTGTAAGTGTTACTGGAACCTGACTCCATAGAACAGCCTTTGTTTCACAGTACTGCTAGAGGTCCATCAGGATGATTCAGTAATTTCAACAAAACACAATACTATCAGCATTTAGACCCTGCAACTACTATATCCCATATGCAGAGGATAAGAGAAAGTAATTATTTAAATCAGAAAATAGCAAATTACATACATGAGTCCTCTTATAGGCACCGCTTTGTAGATAATTACCCCTGCAAGCAAAAGAGAATAGAAAATATTCCACAGTAGCATATAAATATAACACTCCCCCCCTTCTGCCATCACCTAAAATAGCTTCTGACCACAATGAGCCAGACTTTGCAGCAGAGAAGTCATCTTGAATTCAGCATGGATGTATCTACAGAAATCACCAAGACCAACAGAGATGCACTCTGACAAAAAACTCTTCTTCCAGAATGGGACCCACCCTTCCCTTAGGGTTTTCCAAATTGGATTTACTCCATGTGAACAGTGCAATGGGTTAGTGTATTGTCATTTGTAAAGCAAGCAGTAACTGTAAAAGTCAGAGAAGTAGGAAGTCAAAATAGGCACAAAAGACAAAACTTCATGTCTGTACAAGTGATACTTCTACAACTTACTAAAATACTCTCTTAGCTGCTCACAGTTTGGGGATGAATACAGCTGGATTGGGCTAAAAAGTACGAAATAGGGGAGTCCTTTGCACTCACATGTAATCACTGAAATGAGGCTTCAGCAACACTAATGTGAGTGAACCCTGCAGGTACCAGCACTTTGCCCTACTTTCCATCTCTTGCAAGTACCAATTTCTCTGCTTTTTGAATAGCCAGGGTGACACCAGATACATCATCCCACTGGAGTCACCACTCACACACTGCAGAGGCAGCAAAGGTTTCATCTTGGTCACGAACCAATATAAATGGGCAAAGATGAGGTCTCAGATTGGAGCAGCTCCTTGCCCTGCATTGGGCAAGATACATATTTTCAGGTGAACGACCCCAGTGAACAAGGTGTGGGTGTCCAACATGCTGGAAGTTGTGCAGACCTGGGGGTTTAGTTTCCACCCTTGTCAAGGGCTGGTCAGTTGTGAAATGGGTATTTGGAATCTGGCTGCTAAAAGGACAGAGGGTCAAGGTGACACCACTACACAGCCAGAACCTTACCTGATTTTAAAGTTTGTCACAATGAATTCTTCTCCGCCAAAGATTATACTAAACTGGAAAAAAAAATGTTTTTATTAACTTGATTTATCAATACTTTTAGTAGAGCTGCTTGTAAATTTAGAATTGTCATCAAAATTCTAAATCCTGATTAACATACTTAGGAATTTTTGGAAAGTTTTAACACTTTTCCCTTCCTTCAGACTTTCATTTTATCCTGTTAAGAAAGCATTGGATAACATGATTCTGAAACACCACAATATTGTTACATTTCTGTGTTGTCCCAACAGTTTGCATTCTGTACACTGGGGTTGGACTAGATGACCTTTAGAGGTCTCTCCCAACCCAAACTATTCTATGATTCTGCCAGCTCTCCTCCTCATCTGATATTTGCCAAAAACACAGGAAAATGAGAAAAGCAAGCTACTCACCCAGTGTTCAAGAAGCTTCCTTGCATCATAGTAATCAGGAGCTCTCTTGGTGTTGTAGAAAAGAGAAAAGTTCATGTGAACGTTGAAGAAGGTGACTGGAAGGAGAGAACACAGGTGAAATGAATCCTGTATTTTGCACAGAAGGTGCCTGCTCCCCTTCCCATGTCCACATCCCTCTGCAGAGCCACAGCTGTTTTCCCATTCCCATGGTCACCAAAGCCCTCTGGGATATCCCAGACTGCAAGTGTCCAAGTTTAGATTACTGCTGCGTTGCTAGAAATTTTATTGAAGAGCTCAAGGGCCCAAACACATGGTCATGTCATCACAGCTTAACAACTGAGTTGTGGTTCATATCTGAGTGGGCACGATCTTGGCTTTTCCTGAGATCTGAGAGTGCACAGGAGAGACAGGAGCCTCTGCTGACATGGGACACCTTGCTAAGCAGCAGTGGCTTGAAAATGTGTCTGAGTCTTAGACTGTCACATCTACAGTGTCAATCAGTGTCAGTGATGACCACAACAGCATTTAAAATGTCGCTGTCGAACACTTACCTGGAATGACACCCTTGGTGCTACTGGTCGGAGGTAAAGGGGGCAGTGTAGGAGCTCTTGTTGATGATGCTTTCCTCAAACCTGCTGGAAAGAACAATAAAAGGCCTAAGAATTCATATTGGCAAAAGTGTAAGGAAGAGAATAGTCTAGGTGAGAGAGAGGTTTGAGTTCTTCAGCGAAGGTCATTGTAACAAGGAGCTGCTGTGGTTCCACAGACCTCTGCAGGATGAAGGCAAAAGGGAAAATACACCAACATGTTTGTTGTTTATTTTTTTTTTTTTAAATTTCTCCAGAGGTAACTACAGCATAACAAGGTAGAAAACAGGATTTGCAGGGTTTAGATCCCAGGGAAGACCAGAGCTTATGTGCCATTATCTTTTTTCAATTCCTGTGTTGAAGGGCGGTTTTCTGTGTTCCCTTCTTGCCTGTGTAAGCTGTGCCAGCCTTCAGAGAAAGGCATTGGTCACACACTGAGTGCTAAAGGAGTAACATGCAGTAATGCCTGTGAGAGGAACACTGATATTCATGGTCTCTGGCTGAATGATAACCTGGCATAATGATTCCCATCATAAATGCTGGCCATCCTGTTTGTTGTTTTCAAAGTAAAGAATTCCAAGAATTCATTTGTAGCTAATTTTCCTTGAAGTGAATCACCTTGTCAAGCCAGATTTGACTTTTCATTTCACATGCAATCTGCCACATCACTAGGCAGACAGGGACAAAACAGGTGATGTTTGTCACATGTACTACAGAAAATTGCAGTGAACTGAATCACTGTGTAACATTACAAGCTTTGGTGCTGAAAGAAAAGCAGGATCACAACATTTTGCCCTAGAAGTACCATTTCCTTGCTAGGCTGGTAATTTGTGTTTTTTACTTCACTTGAATGACTGTCAGAGACTTGACATTCTAGCTCTGACTAAGAGAAATAAACTTAACATATGAATGCAAAGCCAAATGTCTGTGAATAAGGAGTGTGGTCAGAAATAAGCAGGATAAGACCATGCTTCATAAAACATTGTTTTTCTCAACAGTAGTTCAAGGTAAGGAGAGTCACCCATGCTTGAAATATAACAGCCCATCTCTGACTCACTCAAATCAGTGGCAATATATCCATGGACAATAATAGAAACAACTTGAAGTCTCCTATTTTTATCCTAAATGACTTCAAATTATCTTGTGAAGTTCAAAGGACATCCAAAGTCAAAAGCCCCTTCTGAGCAGGCACCCTACAGTACACAAGCTTCTGCTTCCTGGACACACAATTGATTTTCCACTTTGCACTAAGTGACAGGCTGTGAACTCAGCACAGAGTCAAACTGAAACAAGGGGACAATAAAGTGACTGAAGTCCAGCTCTGAGTTGTCTCTCCAAGGTTGGCTCTTGCGGAATAAGCTCAGACCTTTCGGTTTTCAGCTCAGACCCCTCAGTCTTCAGCTCAGACCTTCAGCCTCCAAATGCTCCTCTGAGGTACCAGTCTGTGTTTTGGTGTCACCTCATGATCTAGGAGATGATGGCTTCAGCCCCTGTGGTTTCCTCAGCAGAGGTAACGTGCTCAGGGCTGGTGGAGAGCTGAGGCAGGAGGCTCCCCCACGTCTGGAGACAGAAGGATGGGGAACAGGAAAGATGCACCAGCTGTTCCAAAGATCAAACTGTCCAGCGACCTGCTTTGGTGGAGCACAGTCCCTGTTGCTGCCAGGCGTGCAGAAAGCTGTAAAAATAGCAAGCCTGCTTTTCCCATGCTTGATGAATCTTAGGTTTGCCTTTGGACATCCCTCCTCTTTACTCAGCCTTTTGCATCTGAGATAGTAGTAAACTTTGGGAATCAGAGACCTAATCTACTTTGTTTTACTTTTCCATAAAAACACTAGCAAGTCCAGGAGCAAGCCACCACATTGCCATTTCAAATCCATTGCCTGCAGTAGGTCAGAAATATGGCCTGACATAATGGGCATTTGCTGATTCTTTATTTGGAAAAAGATCCTCAGGCTTAGTTCACTGAGCTGCAAGACAGACCTTGGTGTTCCATGCACAGAGCTCTTACCAACACTAACACTGTTTGGCAGACAAGAGGCCAGAAGCATCTACTGAATTGAAAGCCCTAGAGACAAAGGAAACCAACTCCTCAAAAGAAAACAGAGGAACCTGGAGCTAAGGGGATGTGCTTTTTCCTCCAGCATGTGTGCACAAGCACATACTACCATGAGAATACCCTGACAGCAAAACCCAGAGGACCTGGCCGTCAGTGCTGGAGAGAGGCAGATATTCCAGCATTCCCAGGGACTTTAATTCCACAGCTTAGACTTCCAATGGAAACCTGTATGCCTCCCTGTGGTGTGAAGCTGCAGAGATGGTTTTGTGAGCCCCAGTGTAATGTTACAAATAATGTGTGCCTCTTTTCAAACTGACATTAAATGAGTGTCTTGTTATAAGCTTTTTTTAAGAACCGCTGCCACAGAGGAAGTGTGATGAGAACACAGAAGGGCCAATGCTGTATAGACACAACCTACCAGTGGAATAAATATTTCTTTCCTACAGAACTATGAGCATGATGTTTTGCTATGATTTATCAAGCCATATCCCAAACTGTTTGAACATCTGGGGCTTAACTTGTCCCCCTGACTGCTGCAGATCCTCTCCAGGCTGGAGGAATCTGCACAGAGCTGTGTGATTACAGGCTTCTGTTCTTGTTGTTATCAGTGTAATGTTTCAAAAAATATTGCACAGGGGTGATATATGATAGCATCCAGAGTCAGGCAGGATGAATCAGAAAAATCCGCTAGGGAAAAAAAAACAAAACAAAATAAACCAGAAAAAGATCCAAACAAAACCCCAAACCCATTCTGATCAGGGATGTAACTCAGAATGATGTTTCAACCTCCTGACAAATGAAGCATAATTACAACTGCACGGATTACAATTTATGTCTTTCTCCTTCTCATTATCACCTGAAGAAAAAAGAAATCTGTTTATTCTCACATGTCAGGGATCATTACCAGCAAGCAGGTGTGGGACTGGCCACCTGCATCCCATAACTTCATTTGCTTTAATTAATAGCTTGCTTTAATTAATATTCCATTCACGAAACGAGGACTAAGGCATGATGACAGATGAGATCTGAAGCTACAAGAATACTGTGCCACTGATTTTTTTAAGTCCTAGCCAAGGATTTTAATTCGATAATTTAATAAAAGGTTTATTTGGCAACCTGTAAATATGTATGGTTTCCAATAGACAAGCAGCGGAAATTAGACTAGCCAATAAGAAAACTGCAATAAATATATTTCTATATTATTAGCAGTCATTTTCAGATTTTGAATATTCATCCCTTTCCAGGATTATTTAAAATCAAGAAGAAAATCAGAAAGCAGTGTGTGGGTGAGGCAGGGGGAGGAAGAGATGAAGACTGAGTCAGTGAGAGAATGAGAACACACTTTTACTTCTACACTTTTAGCAAAGACCCAGCTGAGCTGGAAAAACAAAGGATTATCTTAAAGATCTCTGGGAAAAAAGCGAAGGCAGAACAATAACTTTACTTCTACCATCAAGCAAAGCCAATGCAATTGCTACAATAATTATAGCACTTAGAAAAGCCAACACACCTTCTTAAGGTTCCCTCTGCCTATGTTCATGTGAGAAGTTTCACTCACTTTGCCTAAATGAGCCCTGGCTTCCCAAAGATGATGTGGAATTTCCAAAACAAAGCAGGCTGCCCAACTGCACATCACAACTGCATAACCAAGCAATGCAACATAAAACATCCATAAACAACACATATAAACACAGGAGGTAAACCTTGCAGCTAGAGAACGTTGTTGGGCATAAGTAACAATCTCAGATATGACACTGGTATTGGCATGGCACTTCCTTATGACATTTCATTACATAGCCACACTTTGGCACAACTGCTTCCTACATGGATGCTTCAGATTGTCTCACGTAGACTCAATGTGTATGACCCCATATGGACAATCCACATGAAGTAGAGCCAGGTGCAGCTTCCCCTGTCTGACAGATGGGACATCAATCTCAATACGTGTTTACACTGCTCACTGTTATCCCTACCTCGTGTATCATCAGCATGCCCCTGTGCTACAGCTCGCTCGTGAATTCCAGTTAATTAAAGTAAGGAGTAGATTTATAGTGGAAGCAAAGGCCTTGCCAGGATCTGACACACGACGGATTCTCAAACATGATTAGGTTTTAATAACATCTCTGTTACTTCCCAACAGTCATCTTGGTCATTGTTCTTAGCAAGATGTCAGACTGTAGTAACCCTCCTCCCAGAGTGGATCACAGAGTGGATCCAGCGGTTCATGGCATCATAGGTGAAAGAAGCCTCGGTGCCAGTTGGTATAGTCCATCACTTGTGAGACTTGCTGCTGTCTCTCTTTGCTGATAACCTTTGAATATTTGGGCCAACGTTTTGCAGACTGAATGTCCTATTCAGGCTGCACTGGAGAATCCTAACTGGAGAAAATCACCTGGTTCTTGAGG